TTTCAATGGACCAGCTCAGTTTGTAACTTTCCTCTCCAATACTTTAATTCAAGGAAACCGATGTGGGACTGGGAAAGAGGTTTATTATCTTCTCCACTTATCAGCCAGGCATTGGCGCAGTGGAGTAACATAAAGTCTTTGCATTGCTTTAATATCCCTTATATGATTATATGGTATGTAGAAAGAAGGGGATGATAAAGAGGTTGATTATTATTATCTTGTTGAATTCTCAAGTCTAAGTTCTTATTTTTATATTGCTATTGTCAAATTATTTTGATAAATTTATATATTAATTATTTTATTTATTATAAACGGTTGGACCCTGATTGAACATGTTAACCCTCGACCCATTAGCTTTTCAGGGTCTATAGATGGGTCGGTTTTCAAAATATTGATTTTGGGTCATTTTCGAAGCCTTTTAGGAAATGGGATGGGTGGCACATACTTTCATGTAACTAGAGTAAATTTGATTGGTGGAGTGTTGATCTCATTTTCACAAGATTTATTGCCATGACCTACTGTTTGGAATTTGTCTTAATGTCATTTGGTAGTCCCTGGCATCTCTCTAAAAGTATTTTAGCTATTTGTCCCATTTGATTTTCCAAATTCTGTATAGTAATCCTTTGAATTTGAAAAACTTTCTTGATCTATTGCATGAATTTAGTTGATATTTCAGCTATTTTTGTCATGCTCCAGTTGATGATGCTACTAATTTGCTCAATACTTCTTCCCATAAAGATTTCTTTTCTGTCCGTTGGAAACCTGATGGTACATATGGTGCACCTTGAGATCATTGATTATTTTTCTAAGAAAAATTAGGGTGATTTCTCTAGCCTGGCTCGTGTTTTTGAATGTAGATTATTCTGTTGTCTCTGAAAATTCTATGTGTAGTTAACATCTTCTACTGATTGAACAAAACAACTCCCCACATTACAATCCACACTTTCGCGATTTCTATTGCAATGGTTGCATTTAGGCCCACCTTCTTAAACTGCATTCATTGTTTGATTGGTTGCACAACTATCTACTTTTTTAGTTAGGACTGCAAGTGGTGTTGAAATAGCTGTCATGTGTTCACCTCATGCATCCCTTCAACTCATTTCCCACTTGATCTCTTAGGCGGGCATAATGCATTGGTGTATGCCAAATCCTCCATTATCTACAGCCCTTTTTATAATTGACCCAACACTAATGGAGTCAATGTTAGCCCTACTCGTCGGATTTAACCCAATGTTGAAATATTGAACGTGGAGCCATTTTTGCAAACCATGTTGTGAACATTGACGAAGCAGACGTTTGTATTTTTCCCATGCCTTGTAATAGCACTTTGAGTCAAGCTATAAAAATGTAGTGATCTCATCTCTAAACTTAGCAATCCTTTTTGGTGGAAAATATTTCTTCAAGAATTTCTTGCTTAAACTGTCCCAAATAGTGATGCTAGGAGGTGGAAATGTGTCCAACCATTCTCTAGCTGAATCTCTCAAGGCATAAGGAAAGAGTCTTAGATGAATTGCATCACTGAAACCTCTGGATATTCAATTGTTATACACATATTTGAAAACCTCAAAATATGAGCATTTGTGTTGCCTGTTGTTTTCCCAAAGAACTGCAATGCATTTTGAAACATGTTTGTTACGTTTATCCTCAAATGAAAATTAGCTTGCCCAAATGCTAGGCAAGCTATGATGGATCTGCTTTCTATTGCAGTTGGAATCATGTATTCCTCCCATTTTCATTACCCGCTTCTTCAACCGAATGTGCTGCATTTACATTCAACTTGCCTTTTTTGATTTTGTAATTTTATATCATTGATTCTACTTGCCTTTTTTACTATGCCTCTATTTGCTCTTTTCTTCTCAACCTGAATGTTCATTCGATTTTCGAATCAAATTAAGCAAGATCACCATACCTCGAAATTTGCATGCTAGATCTTGAAAGAAAGAGAAAAACATTTTAATATTATCTAACAAAAACTTAAAAACGCGAAAGCCAAAAAAAAAAANAAAAAAAAAAAGAAAAAGAAAAAGATTAAAGTTAAAATAAATTGAAACTAATTAAATTTTATATCCCCTGCAATGGCGCCAAAAAATTGATCATACGATTTTCAGCAAGTATACAGTATCATGAACAAGTAATAAAGTGAAGAGTATCGTTTCCACGAGAACTATGTACTTAATCAAGAATAAATTAATTTTCACTGTAATATAATAGCCAAAGTTGTTTGAATGATTTATACTAATTTATGTAATTAAATTAACAATTGAAATGAGCAATGTATAAAATTTTTGTGAGTTTCAATTGGACGTTAATAAGACTTAGAATTTTCCTTATTAGTTCATTTTAATGCAAATAAATAACATGACAATATGTGCAAATTCTTGTTGATCAATGTCCCAAAGTTAATAAAAGCATGTGTCAATGCCAATTAAATATATCCTCTCCCATGACCTTTCTATATCTTTATGAAAGATGTGAATACGAAATCATGCATTAAAAATGTTAGAACATTTACAGAAATCTTGCAAAGCATGTTCCCTATCAGACTTTAGAATAATTGTTATAAAATGCTATCTATTTTATCATTTCTCTCGGAATCAATAAAATTCACAATCAATCCAGTTAGTGATCAAAAATTTGAAAATTCATTGAATCCTATAACAATCATCCAAGAATAAACACACATTGAGCGTTAAATTATCAAATTTATATTAAAACATCATAATAAGGGTTTATCATTGTCTTAGTAATTAAAACCCTAGTCTAGAATTACAAAATCACAAGAAAATATGTTTAACTCGAAGAATATAATCTAGATTTTAGATTGATGAAGGAGAAGAAGATGGATATTGAAATCTTAAATCTCTTCAATGGTTTTTTGATGAATCTCTTGTATGTCTTCTTGTTGTCTCTTCAATAATTAAGGTTGAAACTCAAATTCCTTGAAAACTTGTAATTGCCCTTTAATTCTCACAAAAACAATGGATTGACATCTCTTTGAAGATGTTAATGTATGAAGTTAGGGGTATGAGGTGTATATGAGAGTTCCCCCTAATGTATTCCACTGTTAGGTATTTATAGGAGTTAAAATTTGGTTGAACATTATGTCCAAATTGGTTTTCAAAAGAGTTCCAATCAAATGAGAAAAGTAACATCTGTGCACGCATGTTTTTCTCTGCACAGCCATCCGTATTTTTGTCATAACTTTCTTTTTCGATATCCAATTGAG